CACCCGATGCCCCGACGGGGACCATCATCATAATGCTATCTCCTTGATCATACACCTTCCTCTTGTACTTTGATCCAAGAATGTCGTTCTTTATGTTTGCAGCAACAACTGCAGCCTGCTCAACAGCCTTGAAGGAGAGGCGCATCGAATTGTTGGTTATATCGCCTGCCGCGTAGATGGGCAAAGGTGCATTCTGTCCGCCCTGTACGCGAAGCTCACGGTCCACTTTCACCCAACCGTCAGTGTCCAGCCATTGCTGAGGGATAAAGCTGTTGTTGGGTAGGAGGCCCGTTGTGGGAATGTACAAATCGGCGGCGAGCTGCTGTCCGTTACTGAGAGATATGTTCCACGTCCCGTTGGTGGACCGAACCGCATCGGTGACTTTGTTCGACGTGATGATTGCCACATTTTTCTGAGTAAGCAGGCTCTCCGCAGCTTTGCTGCCTGACTTCTTGAGCATCGGTAATACCCGATCCGAAGCAGAGACGAGAGTAATCTTTACTGGTTTTCCTTGGTCTTGCGCGGCTTCGGCAATTTCACCGGCGAGTTCGACACCGATGGGACCGGCACCGGCTATGACGATCTGCGAGGCTGATGAGATAGCCTTTTGCGCATTGTTAATCAGCGTTGCCATATTATCGGCGTTGGATTGCTTGAAGGGAACGGGGATGTCGCTGCGTGTCGTTGAAGCGGTGGTACTCCCCGCGGCAATGACCAGGTGGTCAAATTGGATGGCCGTTTGACCGTCAACCATGACGGACTTGTCTTCAGGACTGATGGCGGTCACCCGTCCTTGAACGAATTTGAAAGATTCCGAGGGATACTTTTTGAATGCCGACTCAATTGGGATCAAGTATTGCTCTGGTCGAAAGGCTGCGGGTTTGGCCATGATCCGGGGACCGGCAATGGAGAAGTAGAATGTTGGAGAGGGGTTGATCAAAATAACCTTCACCGTAGTGACATCTTTGAGGAGAGAATGCGCAATTGGTACCCCAGCAAAGGAAGCACCAATTATCACAACAGTTGTTTGGCTTGATGTCATGGCGGCCGAGTCTTCTCTTTGATATTCTCGGTGGCTCACTGATTGCTGGTTGGTGATCTAACCTCATATTTATAGTTACCCCTATCTCGTTCTGAGCAAGCGCAAAGGATCTTCGCTGAGTTATATAATTACTAATGCTTAGAAACTGAACAAGACTGAACAAGGTTCTTAGCTTATCCTTCGAGGCTGCCCTAACCTTATCTCGGAAGAGGTGGAGCTGGGGACTGGCCCGTCGGCTGGTTTATGAATTCTTCAGGTCAGCACGGATTAAAAACACAACTGGCTCATCTCATCTGAGTCAACACCAGACGGCAAGGAATTATCTGCGACGGGATTTCCTTGACAGACAATACTACAAGGTCAACAAAAGACTTTGATCATCAGCTACAAACCACTACTTGTCTACCAGGGGGATTATTGGGATGGTAGGAGTAAATATACTTTTAAGGAATAACTTCCGTCGCCAGTCTTAAACAGACAAGGGACCGCGTAATGACATAAGCTAGGGTGAGGTGTCTGTGAGGCTTGTGACAATCACCTAACCATCTTATTGTCCAACAATACTAGGTGTAGATAAGTGGATGCATAAAATGACCTGCACTTTTACTGTACTGGAAATGACATGGACTCATCACCTAAAGGCGGAATATATTATCTCATAGTCGCACGATGGAGAACATTGCCAAACAAGACATTTGTAATCTACCGGCAGCAAAGACTACAAGCTCCGATAAATGGCCGCGATATAGTTAGCTTACTGAGTAATGATGACCAACCACAACTCTGTGGAACTAACTATCTCTGTTCCACTGTCCAAAATCGAACCGTGGGGTTCTGTTCCCTCGCCGTAACCCACTCCGTTCAAGAATATGTCCTTTAACACCAGATGATTCTCCTGATCCGAATCATCCACAGGCTCGCGACATCCAGGCATTTATCTCCAAGTATGGTAACAATTGGGGTAGGGCCATAAACTTAAACGTATTATTTGAATCGTGCCATGTTGCGTTGCCAAACTCGGACGAACCTTGGTACCATCAGCACCATTTGAAGTACGCGAGACTTCAACTTGTTGTACGTTGGAAAAATTGACTTCATCGAAACCAAATGTTACCGACACAGATAGATCTAATGGAGTCAGGCACGAACGAGAATACTGCCTCTAATCCAGAGCAGCCCCTGCAACTTTCAACGCAGCAGGAGGAGGACGAACAACCACCCTCTCCCGCACGTCCATCAAGGCCACGGTCGGGACCCAGGAAAATCCCACAGCCAGCCAACCACATAAATGCTCCTCCCACGACCATAGATTACTGGTGGAGATGCATACTAGAAATCCCACTGCCCTTATTAACCCTCAACCGCAACAAAATAAAGAGATCTTCTATGATTGATTAGACATAGTTTTTAAATGTATTGTCTTTAGCTCTACCCAAGATGCTTTTGATTTATTAGCTTACGGCGCCTTTCTTTGAACCCTTCCGTTCCCTGTAAACTCATGGTAGCAGCGTCTCTCGGTATTAAGAGAGCCCTTTCGAGCGCGAATGAGATTGATTAAGTATTAGACCAAACTGCCTTGTGAAGGCTTTTTAGACGATATACGGAGTATGCATAGGTTCTGACGCCATCTCCAATATCGACAAGTGGCGCAATTGTAAGCGCTGAAGTCCTATTCTCCTAAATCTACTTATGAGCAATTAGCTTGCCTCTAATAGTATATCATGTCTGTGGCTTCAGTGCCTGGAGTCATCTATTATTTCAGATGACATTCATAGTAATAGACAACTAGGATAAGTACTTAATTCAGCCTCCAAATAAGTTTTATAGCCGTTCACCCTTTGATCAGAAGTTTCCGTGGCGGTGTATATTCCCTGCACTGTGATGGGATTTCATTCGAGGATTAATGTGCCAACGCTGTGTTTTTAGCCAGCTTTAGCTACAAGTGATTAGGCAGAGCCAAGCACCAGTTCAGCCTTGCCCAATAATAGTGACAGCCTTGTTACACGTCAACCTGTCTGATATGTTATCCCTGATTGATTGCAGCTGGACCATCAGCTTCCCGTCCTGCACCAAACAAAAGAGTCTAGAAATTTGTTATCTACACCAGTCACTGTACCCCCTCGAGGATATTCAAGACACTCGTGGTAAACTCGTGTTCCTTAATGTCTCAGAGTGTGCGGGACAATCAATGGGCGAAATACGAGAAAGAAATCACTTCTCTATATCAGGAGCATACCCTACATAATGTTATGCAACTGATGAATGAAAAACATGGGTTCCGCGCAAGGTACATGACCACACGTTGGCTATTTAACCAAGTTCAAGTAACCAATTTCTTCCAGCAAGAACGATTACGTCAAGAGGCTGAGATTGTGGGGAGTTCGGAAGAATGTCAAGAAGAACCGCGCCGCGGATACATGGAACTTCATTGATCAGCAACTTAAGAAACGTTCGACAGTAGGGAAAAACAGCGATGTTTCTCTCCATGGGAAGCATTACTCGAATAGAAGGGTCCAAAAAGAGATTTCGCGGAATGTGACACACAGAGATATCTTGAAGCGGGCATGTGAGTTTCTTCCTCGCCCCTTTCTTCTTCTTAAACGTTGGGTTCCAAGATCAACCCTAAATGATAATCCTGACGGAAGAATGCATATTTCCAGGCCATGATCCTCCAACGCCAGACGGTGTGGTAATCTTTACTCCACCTGGAGAATCATTGATCAGCCCGCTTCGCGTTGACAATCTTCCTTGGAATTTGTTCAAACGAGAAATCGAATCTCAAGTGATATCACAACAGCACCTGATAGCAACTCAGGGTCAGCATTCGGATCCAGGTGGTCAAAATGCCAGGGAACTTCATGTATTCAGCTATTCCCAACTCACAACCATCCAAAGTCCAACAGCACCTAGCACAACGATCTACGCCTTTGATCAGGCAAATCTGAGCTCAGCAGATCAACTGAATACAGATCCTTGGGACTGGACCATTTTGAATAATTTCACATATAGATCGCTATTTGATACGGTGTTCTCTTCAGCTTCTCCTGGAGCCAACCAAACAGGATGGGTAACCAGCCCATCGGATGCTGTCGCCATCAGTACCCAGCCTGCGCTATCATTACTTTCCGAATTATCGCAGAGGAATACCATCAATCTACCATCCTTTCTTAAACGGTACACAACGGATGAGCAAGACTTGGAGCTTGATGCATCGTCTTGCAGTATTTTGATTCCCACAGATCATGCGGCACTATTTCGCTTTTTTGGCTCGTTTATATTCTTGATAACAAACAACATCTTGGCCGACCACGACATCCATGAATTTTTTATTTGGATTGTGCAAAATAATTGCATTTGGATAATTGCGAAAATACTTGAATTACCACCAACAGTGACAGTGGATGTATTAGCAAACAAGATATTTCCTGCGGCTATAAGGACAGGCGAGATAGAGCTTGTGCGCAAACTCATTTCTCGTGGTGTTGATGTACACTGTCCGAAAAAGTGGGAGACACCATTATCACTTGCAGTTCAGCGTCGAGACATGGAAATGGTCAGCCTGCTTTGTGAATGTGGGGTGAAGCCAGAGATATTAAATTTTTCTGTCCAGAAAAGTGACCAAAACAACGACACCTTGTGGTCTGACAGAAACAACCAGCTTCTCTCACTTCTCCTTGCCTTTGGTGCAGACTCGGAATCGTTTATTCACAATAAACCCAGTGGATATCCCCTCGTAAGTGCCGCTGCCGAAGGCGAGGTGAGAGCTGTCCAAATCCTCCTTAGAGCTAACGCACGGACGGATCTTGCTATTCCGGAACTTGGAACTGCACTGCAAGCTGCTGCTGGACCAGGGCATGAAGCAGTTGTTCGGCTTCTTATTGAAGCAGGTGCAAATGTCAATGCAATATGGGTTATTACAAAAATCCACCGCATACCATTGCGCTTCTCTGCAGCCTTTATGACACCAATTCAGCTAGCAGCACGCGGGAACAGGGGAGACATTGTGCAGATTATGATTCAGAGCGGAGCTCTAGTGAATTACCTCCCTATTATTCCGCATTTAGGGCTCGGTGCTATCGAAAAAATGTTCTCCAACTGGAGCCGATGGAGCTCTGACGAAGAGATTCCGCTTGCATATCCCATCCAACATGCCGCCGTGAACAATAACATAAACCTTGCTCAACAATTACTTGCTGCTGGGGCACATGTGGACTCCAGAGTTGGCACAAATTATGGCGATACCCCTTTGCAAATTGCGGCCAGGATAGGTAACATTGGAATGGTAGAAATGTTGCTTTCATACAACGCTGATGTCAATGCTCCTCCTGGAAAATATGATGGGCGTACAGCAATCCAGGCAGCTGCAGGCAATGGAAATATGGACATGATGCAAATGTTAATAAGTGCTGGAGCAGATGTCAACGCGGCCGCTGGCTGGAGAAAGGGGAGAACGGCGATTCAGGCCGCTATGGAGAAGGGCCACCATGACGTGATAACACTGTTGTTACACCTGGGGGCTGATATCAATGCAAGTCCAGCTTTTAGTGGTGGCCTCACTGCTTTGCAGGCAGCAGCTTTCTGCAACATTGGACTTCTTAAAATAGCCCTCACGAATGGCGCAGATGTTAAAGGTGTGGTTAGCCCTGAGGACGGAGTCACAGCACTTCAAGCTGTAATTAAGCGGAAGGATATTTCGGCGCTCAACATCATGCTTCACGCAGGTGTAGATGTGAATGAGCTGTCGCCCTCAAAAGCATCCAATTCATTTCCCTCTCCGGATACATTAGGCTCAAACATGACACCTCTCCAACTTGCGGCTTATTTCGAATGGATTGAAGGTGCCGAACTCCTCATCGATTTCGGTGCAGAAGTTGATGTACTCCCTCCCCAGCGTGATCATGATAAGGCATTCACAGCTTTGGGCTGGGCAATCAACAATTATGATCACGATATGATGGAGTTACTGCTTCATAGCGGGGCCGATCCAAATGCTCCTTCTATGAATTACGAAGAGGCACCTAGTGCCTTCCTCTATGCTCTCCATCGGTGCTGCTCAAATGAGATGTTTGATCTCTTTCTTCAGCGAGGTGCCGATATCACAAAGTGTTGGGGCTCTGAATCAGCAATTGAGCTTGCAGTATCAAGCGTTACCAACGATATAAGTATTGTCAAAAAGGTTATTGAAATTTTTTCACAACTTGCAAGGGGTTCATACTCGACCGTGATGCAACAAGCTTTGGCATGCATCACAGTGGATAAAGATTTCCCTCCCAATGCCGATCTGGTAAAAACATTGCTTGATGCTGGAGCTAATGTCAATGCGATTGACACCGATACGGGAGAGACATTACTCCAAAAGACACTTATGGAGCCTGATGTTGATGTAGTCAAGCAGCTTCTTGAAAGTGGGGCAGAGGTGAACTTCCTGGCAACAGAGGACAGGGGAACACCCTTACAAACAGCAATCCTCTACGAACAGCCAGAAATCGCGAACCTTTTGATAGATTATGGTGCTGATATTAATGCCCTTCCGGCTGGGAAACACGGTGCAACTGCGCTTCAAGCAGCCGCCATTCATGGCTACGTTGGACTTGCCAGGAGGCTGCTGGAACATGGAGCTGATGTTGCTGCGGCTGCGGCACCTGTCGATGGTAGAACAGCAATTGATGGGGCGGCTGAGCATGGTCGTCTCGATATGTTACAGTTGTTACTCAACTCTTACCCCTGCAGAGAAGAACTGCCACTTGCCTGTAACCGGGCCGCCTCTTTCGCGGAAAAGGAAGGGCATATAAGAGTAGCGATTTGGTTGAGGGCCTACACATCATGTTGACACTGTGTTGAATGGGACAAAAGATGTCTGGTTTCCGTTTTAGAACTGGCTATGATTGTTTGAAAGCCTCCATTCCTAGACTGGAACTTACTGGCTAAGGCCTTTGGCATAAGTATAGTAATGTAAAACTCGTGATGTAGGCTACCCTATTACGACGGTATCAGAGGTCCCATAAGTCTAAAGCCTTACTTGGCACATTGATTTCCTTCAGATACTCTCATAAACATTTGATTATGTTTCCTAAACAGGACTTTGATTCCCTCTGGAAAGTATATTCAAGCTCTAGATACACTGCGCGCCGACCACGCTGATATCTTTCGAAATTTGGCTGAGTTATCATCTGATCAACAGCCGATTGTGAGCTTTACGACATGTTCAGAAAGCATATCTGTAGGGCCAGGGGCTCATATTGCAGTAATGTTTCCGGCAGACTGCGTCGTGCACTTACCCCATCTCGTCGTCCCCGAGATCCACTATGAGCTGCTTTCCAAACCTGGCATGAGGTCTGCCAACGCCGCCATCCAACGTTATCCATACTGTTCTCACTCCACATGACGTACACGATCAGGACCTACCGAGGGGTGAAATTTCCAGAATCACCCAGCTACTTGACAATCACGAATTGCCATTCGTCCTAAAGCTCCCAATCAGCCTCCGGGCTAGGCGTCTTTAAGGTCAATACAGATGCGCAAAGGGCAGACGTCAAGACAATACTCGCAGCGCACCTCGGCCGGATGCTCCAGCGAATTAACGAATCAAACCATCATATGCATCCATGTTCTTTAGTGATTCAACGCTTCATTTATGGTACAACAATGGGCTTTTCTCTTTTTGTAACAAAGAAGGGGCGGACCATCTTTGTAGCGTGCTGTGATCAGCAATTAGACGAAGATGGGCACTGGATTGGTTATTCAATCTTCTATAAGCGGCAACCGGAGCTCAAAGAAACCTATCGTGACATACAGGAGAAGGTCGCCGCTTTCTTGCATCAGAAGGGCTATTATGGCCCGGTTGGGCTCGATATAATAACAGATATTGGGGGGGGGGGGGGGGGGGGGGGGGATTTAGTACATTTCGACCTCAACGCCGTGTCACTGGCTGTTACCACTTAGGGCCGCTCGCAGGACACTTTCTTCAGCGCGGTCTGCTGGAGGTAACTGTTTTGCAGGCCTATTCCCGTTATTCTAGGGCTGCATTTGAAGCAGTTTTCTCGGACGAAATCCGGAAGGGCAGCTTGGTAATCAGCAGCTTGGCACACGCCGAGTCAACACCACTCAGCCAAGCTGCGATCAATATAGGAGGCCGGGATCCTCCGAAGTGGAGGAGACACTTAAGAAGATCAGACGTTTTGCTGTTCCGGATAGAAATATGTGAAGAAACGCCTAAAAGGAGTTTAAGGATACTCTTCGATCACCCGCAGGCAGATTCGCTGCAGAGCGAGATGTAGTATTGAGTATTTAGCGTGTTAATTTATAGATGTAGATTGATATTAAGATCCTGATGCGTACAGCATTTGACAGCCTCCTCAAAGTCATAGACCCAGGCATGCAGGCATGCAGTTCTCCTAACGGGTGGAGCTGACGCTTCCTGCTACTTCTCTGGTAGTTCCAAACCGCGAAGCGGCCCATCCTTATGGGCGAGTTGTGTCCCTTGCAGGCAAGGATGCATTCCGACCAACGATGCGTCAGATCAAAGAATAGAGTCTATCTTCGGACGTAAGATCTGCTCTCTTGCCCATCGAATCCCCTCCGCAACAATTTCCGGTCGAATCAAATGCACATTATGCCCACAGTCCGGCAAATGAACCATCCGACTCCGCCTAGACAGTCTCAACTGTTCTTCCTGCATCTCACGATCCATCCCATCCCATTTATCCAGTAGCTCACGGAATGCCGCTCGCTGTGCCTCCGTCCCATTGCCAGCCTCGACAGCCTTCTCATAGAGTCTCCTGTAGTCCATCAACCCATTACACCGAATCACGCTCAAAGGCCGATCCCCGAGCGCCTGTTTCTTGAACTGCTCTTTTTCAGCAAGGGCACGACAAACCTCCTCTCGCATCATCGCTTCAGCCTGCGAAGTAGCCATCCCGCGCGCAATGTCCATCGCTCTCACCCTCCATTCCTCCCGCGACAGCTGAGCGGCAGCACGCAGCCCCGTGACCTCAGCGAACTTCAAGCTCCCCACCATCGCTGTGAGGTCTAAATCTGGGTTCTGGAATAGCTCGATATTTCGTTCGGTTGAGGCGTCCATGAGAACCATTCCCGCGACGTCGCTCGAGTAGAGATGGAGATATTCCCGGGCGATGATCGCGCCATAGGAGTGAGCGGCCAGGATAAGTGGTGGAGGGATGTTTGCGGTGGTGAGTAAGGTGTGTAGCTCCGCGGCTGCTGACGTGGCCGTTGGGTTTGGTGCGTTTGGATTACTTTCACTGCGACCGAGGCCGGAGCGGTCGTAGAGAACGAGCGGGGAGAAGGACGCGACGATCCTTTGGACTGCGCAATAAGACGATGCGACGTCGCCTGCGCCGGCGATGAACACTACAATAGGATCTGGCGGGTTGCAGCGGGGTGGGCCGCTTATGGAGAGGTAGAGGCGATGGGTGCCGATGGAGATCATGGTTCTCTCAGATGATGGAAATTGGTCCATTGGGAATGGCAAGTCGATGGCCAGGTCGGATAATACACCACTCGACAAGTGGCTTGTTAGCTTACAAGTATTAAGGCCCGATCGGTTTTGCCGATATATGTCATTGTGATATTGGCTTAGTCTCGGCCTCAGCCAAGGCGCTTGATGTGCACCTTTTATGCAGCAATTGGATTGGGCGCTCTTAAATAATTGGTCTTACGCCCCCTCCTCACCGTGTTGGCAATATGGGATTCGATTGGTAGCACAGAATTATTACACTAGCAGATAATGGCATGCCTTGATACACATTAATGCCGGTGGAGAATTAGCAACTGATCCCTTCTGTCTGTCACCTTGTTGGCCATGCTCCTGCCACGTACACCTGCCTCTATAGATCCATGAAATTCCAGACCGAGGGTGCAGCATAACCAACACTGCTGGTTTATCATGGACATGGAACTTGGTAAATTGGAGGTAGGGTCTCAACGCTAATCGACTCAAGAAACCTCGAGGTACATGTCCAGAAACTAAATTCAGCAATATTTCTGGATATCATCACGCCCCGTGACTATGGGAGCAACAACGGTCGCCGGACCGCGCATGATCCTGGTATGGAGCAACATTTCCAACTCTCCAAGTTCTATAATATTAAGCTGTCTCAACAATGATCAATGTATATAGCCTGGCGAAGAGCGGAGAGACAAGGGAAAACCCTAAGCATGCCACCACTAGTGTTCTATAGTTATATGCTCATGCTTGTTTCTTGTCCGATCCTTTTCCCGCGAAGACCGACTGAGCAGCCCACGGAGCAGGCCAGGCCAGGGATCCGGGGATATCTTTGTGATCGTCTCCCGATACAAGATGGTCAATAACCGCGATGAAGATATAGGCGCCAATTCCCGTGCAGATGTGCCACCTGCCAATTTTCGTATCAATTGCTTCATCCAGAAAAAAGTGGGTAAAACAAAAGAAGCCTGGTACATACCACCCATGAAGCTCCAACAAAAAGGCCCAGGGCAGACCCACCGTCTCCCGGATGCTCTTCAGGTAGGAGCACATCCACCCATCAACCAGCCAGAGCCAGTACCCCAGGTTGAATATAACTTGCCGATGAAGTTAGCAGGAGCCCAATGTCGGAGTAAGCTGGAGTATATCACCAGCGCCAAACCGCACCATCCCCCAGATCTGCCTTCGAGCCTCCGAGCCCTCCCGTGTGCGAGCGTTGATCATTCGCATGGTAGAAATTCCGATGGCGGTTACGGAGCCAACGAAGAACACCGAGTGTAGGAGCATCTCATCTGTCTTTACGTGGTAAATTACTAGGGCGAGAAGGGTTAACCCCAAGATCATGCCCACAATGATCGTCACCCTGGGGCTGGCATTGGCGGCCATGACGCGGTGGAGCACCGGGGTGGTTGTGAACAACATGGAGATGTCGTCCACTGATGAATAGAGTAAGCCAGAGAAAAGTATGAGAGTAGAATAAGGAAATGATAAAAAAAAAAAAAAAACCTACACATCTGCGTGTGGTACTTGAGGCTGACGTGGAATAGAGCTGAACAAATTCCCACTGCCATTAAACCCCAGTAGGGTACGGTGCGAAGGAAACCAGCATTTGGTTTCTGCCGCAGCTGGTAGAGCCCATAGATGGCGTAGATTACTGAACGTTCTTCTCAGTGGGATCGTCGTCTAATCCAAAACAGGAGAAGAACTTACTGTATACTACATTGGTCAAGCTGTTGATGAATTCTGCAACATATCTGGTTACCATGTAGTCCTACTCCAGATCAAGCAAGCCATTAGCTTGATAAAATAGATTTTGATGTACGGGGGCTCTGATTCATAGCTACCTCCTCACAAAAGCTGTAAGACGCGAGTTAGTTGACAATGCTTAAAGAGTTGTCGGCACGGGAGGCTGAGTAGAGAGCACGGACTTGGAGTTTGACGTGATCGGACCCCAGAAAGGGATTCCTGAGTCATCCGAGATCATCTTTGCTGCTTGTAGATTGAGGGAATCTGTACTACTGGAAGTTAAAAGAAACGAGTCTCATGAAGGCAAGAGACACAAACACAAAGAAAAGCGAAGGAGGGGCGGTGGCAGGCAACGACAATAACCCACTAGTGCTTACAGGGGACGAGAGCTGATCAACCCTGGAGCCAAATCATGACGCAGGTAATTAGAGTTAGTCGGCAAGGGTAGCAAAAAATAAATGAATCGCCACCATGTCTCTCAGAACTATCTGATTCCTCCCTTTTCTCTCAATCTCCGCCTGCGTCCTCTTGGGTTGAGGGCAATCATCTTCTGGACGCTTTTGCAGCAGGAATGCTGCTCATCGATGTGGTATTGCTCTAATACAAAGTGAATAGAAATAGAT